CCTGGTTGGCTCGTGGGTCTCCTGAGACAGCTGACGGGTACCAGCAGGCCAAGCGGGCTGCAGCCCAGGCGGTTGCGGAGCAAAAAACTCGAGTCTGGGAAGAGTTCGGTGAGGCCATGGAGAAGGACTATCAGTCGGTCTCGAAAAAGATTCTGGCAAACCGTCCGGTGCCTCAGGAGGGGGAAGCAGTGCCCTGCCAAAACTGTTTACAGTGGAGGTGGGCAGCTGTTGACCTCAACTGGGGACATTGTTGGACGGTGGAAGGAATACTCCTCAATTCTCTTCAATCCTGGCGCCATGTTTTCCAATGAGGAAGCAGAGGCTGAGGGCTCAGAGGTGGACTCGTCCATCACCCAAGCTGAAGTCATTGAGGTAGTCAAGAAGCTTCTTGGTGGCAAGGCACCGGGGGTGGATGAGATCCGCCCTGAGTACCTTAAGTCTCTGGATGTTGTTGGGCTGTCTTGGCTGACACGCCTCTGCAACGTAGCATGGCGGTCGGGGACAGTGCCTCTGGACTGGCAGACCGGGGTGGTGGTCCCTCTTTTTTAAGAAGGGGGACCGGAGGGTGTGTTCCAACTATAGGGGGATCACACTCCTCAGCCTCCCTGGGAAAGTCTATGCTAGGGTACTGGAGAGGAGAACTCGACCGATAGTTGAACCTCGGATTTAGGAGGAACAATGCGGTTTTCGTCCTGGCCGTGGAACACTGGACCAGCTCTATACCCTCTTCAGGGTGGCGGAGGGTTCATGGGAGTTTGCCCAACCAGTCCACATGTGTTTCATGGATCTGGAGAAGGCATTCGACCGTGTCCCTCGCAGCGCCCTGTGGGGGGGTGCTCTGGGAGTACGGGGTCCGGGGCCCTTTCCTAAGGGCTGTCTGGTCCCTGTACGACCGGAGCAGGAGCTTGGTTCGCATCGCCCGCAGTAAGTCAGACTTATTTCCAGTGCATGTTGGACTCCGGTAGGGCTGCCCTTTGTCACCGGTTCTGTTCATTATTTTTATGGACAGAATTTCTAGGCGCAGCCAGGGGCCGGAGGGAGTCCGGGTTGGGGACCACAGGATCTCGTCTCTGCTTTTTGCAGACGACGTTGTCCTGTTGGCCCCATCAAACCAGAACCATCAAACCAGAAGCATGTTTGAAAGAATAAATCAATCAATCAATCAATCAATCAAAACCTCCAGCGTGCACTGGGGTGGTTTGCAGCCGAGTGTGAAGTGGCTGGGATGAGAATCAGCACCTCCAAATTCGAGGCCATGGTTCTCAGTCGGAAAAGGGTGGCTTGTTCCCGAGCTCAGAGTAGAACCGCTGCTCCTCCACATCGAGAGGAGCCAGCTGAGGTGGCTCGGGCATGTGTTTCAGATGCCTCCTGGGCGCCTTCCTAGGAAGGTGTTCCGGGCATGTCCCACCGGGAGGAGGCCCCGGGGAAGACCCAGGACACGCTGGAGGGACTATGTCTCTCGGCTGGCCTGGGAACGCCGCGGCATTCCCCCGGAGGAGCTGGAGGAAGTGTCTGGAGAGAGGGAAGTCTGGGCATCTTTGCTTAGACTGCTGCCCCCGCGTCCCGGTCCCAGATAAGCGGAAGAAAATGTATGGATGGATGGATGAATATAACAACAGCATGTCAAGGCTGAGCTTCTATCACCAGTGATTACACATGGCAGGTGCAGCAGAGAGCAGTGATGTGGATGCTGCAGAGTGTGCTGCTAAAGCCTCAGGCACACTGAAACACAAATGCACTGGCACCAGCCCTTTGGCTTCAATTAGATGCAACACATTTATGTGTCCTGTTAACAGTAATGTTTTACAAACAGACCCACGTGCCCTGTGTTTTTGTCACCTGTTGTCATACATACATATAAATTCATTATATACCGATCCTTACCATTGTTGCTCCACAGTCTGTGGGGAGTTAAAAGGTTTTCTTGGCAGCAGGTGGCAGTGTTGCAGTCCGTCACTACATGAGGAAACACGCACATCAACACTTTAAATATTTTACAATTCAGGCCTACTTCATGTGTCACCTTGGGTAAAACTGTACCCAGCATTTGATTTGTGTTGATGAGAAGTTTCTTTAACACTAAACAGGATCAAACCGTCACTCGCTAAAGACAGTTTATCATTCAGTGAACTCCTTCTAAACTGTTATTTTTAAATTAACTAAATGTCATACAAGACCAGTGCCATTAGAATCACACTGATCGGACTGATCGAAGGTCAGTCTTACTTTCACAGATGATTGGCTGTTTGCCTGCTTGTGTTGCCTCACATGATATTTGTTTAGCTACTTATGTGTATCTGACTATAACATGGCGTGACCAGGGTAGGAAGTCACATATCATACAGTTACACACACTCAGTGGTCAGTTTATTAGGAACACCTGTCTCAGACTATGTCAGTCTAATCCAACAGTCCTACAGTTAATAAAGGTGCTGATGTTCAGCACGTTTCACAGCGGTGTTGGTTCACCTGTGTGATCACAGTGGAGGCTGCAGTTTGTGTCGCTGTTCAAATGGAGTGGGTTACAATGAGAGCTGGTTCTGGTGTTTAGCCCAGTCTCACTGACTAACACTGTGCAATTAAGCAGCAACACAAACTGTGGCCTCCCAAATGATCATACTGTTTCAACCGTACATTATTGCATTACACAGACTTAATTTTTTAGCTACCTAATAAACTGGCTAGTCAGTTTGTCCATTTGTACTAAAGGTAGGAGAAAACATTTAGAGCATCAACATTTCATTGTTTTTATGTGTCATTCAACAAGCTAGTGAAGCGCCAGGCTAGTTAATAACATAGCTGTTAAACCTGCATCGACACAACTTTTACTTCAGGAAGAAGAGTGAGCTGTGAAGAGGTAGCCTAAAGGTTATGAGACCCAGACCCCTCAGCACCATCAGGGGATGTTAAAGACAGACGCCATTTTAATTCAATGCTATAGCTAGCTTGACAACTCGCACTGAAAACGGATCACCCATCGTGCGCCGCGCCAACACACTAACAATCCGACAAATGCAAACGCACCAACTACTTATCATTTTTGTGGACGGCTGGGGCAAATATACGTGTAGGCACTGGACAGAAATTCCATTTTTAAATCTGGGAACTCGGCTGTTGTCTATCAGGTATCAAAATGGTCGAGACAAGACCGAGACCCCACTGAATGCGCAGCCACATTTAGCCCTTAGCATGTTACTTTAGCCACACAATATCAAGATCTTTTTCCAAACCGCATATATATACACATTTATACACAAACCACCAAGATAAATTAGTGCTCTTGGCATTTAGGGGCTACCCGATAGTTAAATCTGTGTACATTAAGGACTGAAACTTTATATTGTTCTCACTCACCGAGTTATCCTTGCTGCTAATTGATAACGCTGCCTGCTACCTCACGGTCTCCGCCTTAGCTCGGAACAAAAGCGGAAACGCCCACGAGCTAAACACAATTATGCTCATTGGACAAAAGTTGCACGTGACTGTAAATGTAGCCAATCGAAAAACAGATGCTACTGAAACAGGGATGTGGCTAACGATGTCTGATTCATTCACTGCTCTTTTGATTAATGAATAATTAATTACCGATTATGATTATGATCATCACATAGTTGTAACCATAAAATTACACCAAATTAATCTTATTTCCTGTGGCGATTTTCTGTGGGACTTCCTGTGTGACCCTCAGAAATATTATATAGGCTGCTGTAAATTTTAACCACAGTGAGGTGACTTGCATGGCGAGTCACTTGCAGAGTAATAATACAGTTTTTATTTTATTGAGCATGAGTAAACAGTCTAATCTGGATTTCTAACATAAAGGTGCGACTGAACTCCCAAGTTGCCCCCGATGGTTAGAGCCATCAGTTGAGGTGGCGCCACCGATGGCTGCCTCGGTTCTGTAACGGAAACAAATTTCTTGTGTGCAACAAACTTGGCCAATAAAGGTGGTTATCGTTATAATATGGTGACATTTCATATCCTGTTTTCTGTGTTTACACTAGAAAGAACTGACACAAATTTACTAACTGAAACTTGAAAATAAGTAAAGTGACATTACCTGGTGACTATATACGTTTATCTGTCAATGTTGTATATTGGCTCAAGATTTTTCACTTCAGTTTCCACTGTGTAAACCTTGTCTTACTCAGTCAGAATACTGATGAAATTAGGAAACATCTTGATATCAATTAAAAGTGCAAACGAGAAGAAAGTTGAACAGATAGCCATTTATTATGTCATCTTCCTTCCCTGTTCTTGCAATATCACATTCAGTTAGCTTTTGCAACATATAGCTTCAATTCAGTCCCTAAAATCTCAGGGAAAATACTGTGGATGCATTCATAAACACACAGAGAAGACAAATATTCACATTCACAGCATTACATTGAACACACACGGTGTTTTTCACATCTTCAAGCTGAGGTAAAAGCACAGCCTTTCCTTTTGCTCTATGTGAGCATTAATACAAGTCACTGAGTTTCAAATTGTGTCAGAGAAAAAGAAACAGCACATTTACAGTTGACATACTCAGCAAAATATGAATATATCACACTCGACATCTATTATATTTACATCTGCTCTCACAGAGGGCCAACTGCCATGGCAGCGCGTCCAGTATATGGGTCGTGCTGGATTCTGATATGCACTACTAGTAGTTTACAACAAGTTGGAGCTTTTCCCTGTGTAGTGCAACAGCTGTGCCTACACATGGATAAATGACAGAACGGACAACTGGGCACAGGCCCAGGGGCACATGGGGCTAGGTGGCCCCTGGCAACATATCCCAGAAGGAGAAACTAAATGAGACATGAAATAACCCCAAAAGAACATCACAGAGAAGTACATAACAATGCAAAAGAGAAAAAAGTGAAGTAAAACATCACAGTGAGATGCACAATGATACAAATCCACCACAAAACATACAAAATTACTATGAAGACACAGACACATACACAAAAAAGACTGAAAGATACATAAAAACAACCAGGAGGAGACACAGCACAATACAAAAAGGTGCTTAGTGACCATAAAGAGACACCAAACAATCAGAGACTACATGACTGTATGCTGTGTTTTTCAATGTGGAGGTCTTGCTCCTGTGGGTGGGGGGTAGTCAGGAATCTGGAGCATGTTTCCAGTTTCTAAACACTGGGGATCCCAAGATATTATCCTTCATTCATAGAAACCAGGGAGGCTCTTTCCCCACTAGCCAAGAAAGAACTGAATCCTGATCAGCTTGAAAAGCTGCTTAAAAACAGCCAAATGCCATTTCCCCTTTCTTCCCTCCTTAAGTCTTATTAGCAGTCTTGTTAGTTTTTCTCTGAGTTTTGAAAGGAGCTGGCATCCCAGCGGATGGAGCGGAATGTGCTTTTATTGAAACTGGCCTGCTTCTTAGTGATGCGGTAGATTTTCCTGAGGATGGCGCGGCGCAGCAGGATGTAGACCCACGGGTCCAGGATCTGGTTACAGGTTGCCATCCTGACCCCTGTGATCATCAGCCTTCTGTAAGTGTCTCTGTCGTTGCTCATGGAGCCACGGTAGGACAGAGTGGCTGACATCAGTCCAAAGACCTACAACAGAAGGGAACAGCTTCAAGCTCATCCTCTGTTCAGCACAAAGAAATAAAGGATGCAGTGATGCCAGTTCATATTTCATGTAACAACATGAAACAACTGCATCTGCTCCTTTTCCTGAAGAATCTGGGATACAGTTATAACCACACACTCTGCTCCATCTGTGCATTCATGTGCATTGTATGGTATTTTTACATTTCCTGAATTTCATCTCTTTTACTTGTGCACAGTAGTCTCAAATAGTTTTTTCTGTTCATATCAGTTTTGTCTCATTATCCACTTACTAGTCATCCGTTAAGCACTTTGAATTGCATGAACCTGCAAAACAGATGCTTGAGTGACTGACAATCAAGTGTAACACAACCAGAGTGTCCAGCTCCTTAATCATTTTCACACTTAAGAAATGCGGTAATCGCTTTTTCAAATCAAACTGTACCTGTAAATTGTTGCCAAAGTTATGTTAATAACAATCATCCTGCTGCTAATGATCTAAAATATGATGATGGTGATGATAGTTTGGAGAACAAATCACTTTATCTTCATCAGTAAGCATAAATTTCACTCAAACAAAAACTTGTTTTAAGAACATGCTAGCGTGTTTCAGGGGGCATGCAGAGAGTTTGCCAAGCATTTATAAATCATAATATATTTTTTATTTTTTTATACTTGTACAAAGATGTGTCATGCATTTTAATGGAATTAATCTTTTTGTCTTTAAAAATAGCTCAGTATTTAATTTATGATGATGTACTGACAAGTTTGTCTCCATATTAAAACCATAAATCATATAATTTAGCAACATTTTCATTTGCCCCATGTGACACTGATGTGAGAGCTCAGCCACAAATCAAATTCCACGCCACTATCTTATCTTGGAAACATATTATACTATGCTAAATGTGCATTGAAATCCCACACTCACCAGCAGGGGGCTCCAGCAGATGCAGGAGGTCACCATGATGCCAACCAGCTGCACCACCATCTCTGTGTCGTGGGACCTGGTCGAACAGCGCGGGGAGCAGGACTTCTTGTTTAGTCGCGCTCTCACCAGCGTGAGCCCACTGATGGTGTTGCACACAAAGGCTGAGGCCAGAGAGCTCAAAGCCAGCCCAGAAAACAGCATCACAAAGGCCAGGTCTGTCACTTTGGTGCCCTCCATCACCCTGATGAAGCACCATGTCCCCGGGTACTGGTAGGTGTAGGCACCCAAGTTGCAGAAGGGCAGTAAAGCCACACATAAGGCCAGCAGCCAGATGAGAATCAGTGCCATCTTTGTCCGTGCTGTGGTCACTAGGCGAGCGTGCAGCAAAGGCCTGGTGACACCCAGGCAGCGCTCAGCAGCCATAGCACTGCCCAGGAAGAGGGGGCACAGGCCAAAGAACACCATGCACCCTCCCAGAAACAGACAGGAGGCATCTGGATCTGCAGGATCACCTCTAAGGCTGGAGGAGGGATCAGCTGTGGGCCCGGCAGAGTATCTTCTCAGCACCAGGGCTCCGGTGATGATGTGTCCAGCCAAATCTGTAGCCACCAGGGAG